AAAATTTCAATCAATTATAAATTGTCGATTCAATATACATATGTTTGTTTTAAATTTGTTTTGAATATCATGAAAGTAATAATTTTAGCATAAATTTATTTACATCAGTATTTATAATGTGCCTATTGTTTGTTTTTTATAGGAAATTATCGAATAAGTGTTGTATAAACAAAGAAATTTTATTCAATTATATGATTAAGATCTGAAATCTTATGAGACATGCTTTATTAAAAGAGAAAATAGGTTAAATTTCTGAATGCTCGACTACATTTTAGCTAGAAATTAGGAGGATCTCATTTTCCTCAATCAGTTGTAGCTGCCAGCTTCCATCACTGTTCCCTACTTAGAGGGTGAATAATTGCAAATGAGATTTCTCAGAAAGCAAAGCACTTGCGAGAATTCAGTTAGTACTTAGTTTACTTTATGTAGCAATTTACATAACTATTTACATATTTTTTGAATATCATTATTACTTATTACGAAAGTCTCCTATTATAAAAATTATTCAAATTAATAAAGTATTTTTTCTGTCCTTTTAACACACCAAATTTCTCTATCTTGTCTATGACTGCTAAGAAGTTTATAATTAATTTTTTATTTTCTTTGGTCTTCGTATTTATTTTATTTTATTAAATACATTTATTACGTAGAAAATATATAATTATGTCAATATGACCACAGAAAATATCAGGATGTTCAAAATGGAATTTTTTTTCAATAAACTAGCTGCATAGAATTTTCAGAGATAATAATAATACCTAATTATATTAGAAACTAGCTCAACCACGGAAGTAAAGCAATCCCATATTTGGGTAATGGTAACCTCACTGGCATGACAGTTCTGAAATTGCCTTGATTTACCCTTTATTTCTTAGGAGCGGAACGAGGCGACCAACGGACAGCGAATTGACACCAACCTCACTCCTGCTGGCAATGATTCGCACATGACTGGCATACCAAAACCCTTCACCCTTTTCTCAATACACAAACATATACTTACACGTATATAAAGAGTATTGTAGACGTAGAAAATTTAAAAGTGCTCCGATATACTACCCGTTTATTATTTTAAAACTAAATACTTCCTACGTTTCGTTGACTTTGTAGGAACTATTATCACCTCGGCTGTAAAGTAACCGATTCTTCGGAAGAATATTAGTTTTATTTAAATGAATACTTGCGCAAGTCTTAGATATTAGACTTATTTTTGGAGCACTGAAATATCTATCAGAATTCACGGTATAACCTCTAAATATTTTGGTAATAAACTGATTATACATAATAGTTTAATCGTAAACGATACCAGCAAGTAGTATTAAAAAGAAACGTCTTCATATTTATTACATTAGCAGGGATTTTATAAGTAAATTTATACGTATTATGTTACTCGCAGTCAAGTTTGTTTACAATAAAGCTCGGTAAGTATTAAACAAATAAAGGATTAATTAAAATATTATTTGCGTAGGGTCTTGTGTTTCCAGCAGATTTATTTGTTATTAATTTGTCTGACCTTTCATATTCATTAAAATTTTTGTTTATCTTTTATCATTAGAACTTACTGAAACATATAATAAAATTTCACGAGCGATTGAATATCCTGTCTTTGTCCGAGCAAAACCAACAAGAATAGGAAAGGGTACACAAAATCTACCTCTTTTTTTAAATTTCCTTCGTGATTTTCATTTGATTTGCATATTTAAAACATTCACTTTCAACTCCGTTGAAAATGTCTTGCAGTATCAAACATTTTGTTTTTATATCTAGGATAGTAGTTTGATTATAAATTCTGTGTTTTTTCGCAAAAACTGCTTTTTGTACTGCTGCAAAATATGTAATGATGTCATATACAAGTTAAAATACAATATATAACCCGCTTATTTAGTAAAACTGATTTTTTTTGTTAAAATGTTATACAGCAACTTTAAATGAGATTATAAAGTTATATGGAAATCCAATTCACGTGATTTAGTTGAAAGTGTCACTGAAGCCGGAGCAGATAAGATGCGCGATAGATCGAACTTGAAGCTCTAAACTTTGCCCTCTACCGTTACTCTACAATATTACCTCCTTTTAAAATACGAGTGATTCGTTGAAGCAGAAAGCTGATGTCGATCATGTATTATCCAACAATATGAATTTTCAAACGACGTCATTTATTGCATACTACGATATAAATTATGGTACAATAATGTTTATAATATGTTTATTACAATCCCTTTTGATTTCTAATGATAAAACTATTATAAGTATTGTAATGCTATGATAAGCTTACTTAAATTCGAACGGATGTTATGACTATGTTTGACATCATAACATATTTCCATCACATGTAAAAAAATAAAAATAAATCTATAAAAGTCATATTTTGGACTCGAATTTTTATCGAAGTACTTTTTTTATAGTATATCACAGAAATTGAAAGCAAAATGTAACTGGAATATGTCCTCAGTGAGTGCGGCGTATCGAAAGTTATCAGAGCGTCCAGTCCGTAAGGTCGAACGAAGGAATGTAAGATAAATAAAGCCATATTGCGATGACTGTGCATGCTACAAGGGCTGCCAATATGACAGCTAAACAAAAAAAATGTGACCATAATTATCTCAAATCTATAGAACAATAAATTTTGTTTTTAAGGAGTAATATACCAATTAATATGATTCCATTTGGTATTGACGCTCAAATCAAATTCTTTTAAACTTATCCATTCAAATGAAGAAAAGACATACAAAATCGTATAATTATATTATCTTCCATCATATTGTTAATGTGTTCCCAAAATTAATCAAAGTAAATCTACACATACTTATAATTTATAGTTTTATACTAAACCTTTTCTTAACAATAATAATTTAATCAAATTTTTCTTTGATCCTTATCTCATAATTACCAAAATTGGCTGCCGGTATAAAATTTCATATCGTCTAAATAAGGTTAAGGGGCCTTTTAATTTTTCTTGATAAAAGACCTTTACTATATTGAGATATTTCTTCACTAAATTTCACTTAATAGGATATTTGATATGGAATACTCAATCTCAATTATGCTTTTTAATTATTTTCTAGAAAATATAAGCATCGTTTTATATAATTTGCTGTTTTATATAGTTTAGATACTTCCTTATTAACTATAGAAAGGTGTAACGAAATATGAAAAGGTGTGTAATATTTCATATTGTGTCAGCCCTTGACAAGACTTGCAGGGTATCACGTCCCTTGAGAGGAAACGAATGAGGGCTACCCTCACCGACTGCGAAACATTCGCATTGGGATCATTTCAACAAGCCGCAATTTTTTCTAGTCATGGGACTGTTGGGTCGCAATAGGTATATTGCTTTTGAAAGAACAACATTTTAGAATGGGTATTTACTTCAAATTCATATAAATTTGAAAGCAAAAGTACAAAATCTCTATTTCATATCTTCTTCTTCTACCTGGCAATTTCCCAGCTTTAGCCAGGGTCTGCTTACATGTTGTGAATAGTTTTGGCTAATTGTTTTACGACCGGCCCGCCTGCCTGACATCAACCCTCTTTTGGGAATCAGCATTAATCAGTGATGTCTAAATTATCTTAGAAAGTACATATGATTCGGAAAAATCACATTGGTACTTGCTCGGGCCAGGATCGAACCCGCGCCCTCGGCAACGAGAGGTGGGCTCTTTAACCACTAGGCCATCACTAATTTATTACTAAATCTCTATTTCATATAATACTTAATAATATGTAACACTTCCAAAGTCTTAAACTATCGATTACACTTTCTGTATCAGATAGGGAATTATCTGGTTATAATGTACATGTTTTTTGTATGCTTTACAACTTATAATATACTTGTTTTATTTGATTCACATAGGGTAATTAAGCTTGTTAACTTTATAGTCCTGTCAATTGTTTTTTGTTTTATTTACTATACATTTCGAATTCGCTATTTAGGCAGTTATCTTATATTTTTGTTGTCAGATGTCTGTTTACATATTTTTTGTAAAGGGTGCGGTGAATGTGCAGGGAAGCTATATATTAATAGTAATCATTTTTATATAATAATGACTATAAATAGCCTAAGTATTTATTATCAAAACTGCGGTGGTCTTAAATCAGAATTGAGTGATTTCCGAATTAATAATATGTCACAAGATTATGACGTCATAATTTTGACTGAAACCTGGCTGCAACCGGGTATACATTATTCTGAATTAATAGACAATAGGTATCAAATATATAGGCGCGATCGAGATTCGCATCTAACAATGAAAAAAGATGGTGGAGGTGTGTTAGTAGCTATTCGTAATAATATTATGTCCAAAAGGTTTTCAAATTGGGAAAATGCTTGTGTTGAAGAAATTTTCGTTACAATTACTTTATACAATAAAAAAATTATCTTAGGAGCCGTTTATATTCCACCAGCTGCGCCTCGCAATGTTTATGATTTGCACTTTCAAAATTTACAGTCTATCTATAGTAACAATTGCGATAGCTCATATTGCATTATAGGAGACTACAATCTACTCGATATTGACTGGGATTCTGATGGTCAAATGAATACAACGAACATAGATATGCCCTTGTTAGGAACCATACGGAATCTTAATGACATACTATCTTTTTTTAAATTTAAATCAGTTTAATGTAGTTAAAAACAGTAATGACAGAACATTAGACCTAGTTTTTTCTAATAAAGAATGTTCGGTACAATCTGCTCCCGATCCACTAAATAAACCAGGTATTCACCATCCCCCGCTAGAAATATTACTGTTTGATGTTGGATATCGCTGTCCACCTTCTGTATACGTGTTAAAATATAATTATTATAAAGCCGATTATAACGATATAAACGCTAAATTAAATAGTTTCGGTTGGTTGAATGAACTAAGTTCGTTGGAACCAGATAGTGTTGTACAAAAGTTTTATGATATTATATATGAAATTTGTAGGCTATATATACATGGTGGATATATTTTCATTTTATCCACCTCTGGATTTTATATTTATGATACACATTATAAATGGGGGGCCTAAAGAATATTAAAATTGGATTTTTAAACCCTGGCTCGCTTAGTACACACCACGAAGAATTTTTAGTTGCCTTGGAACGTCACAACGTTGACATTTTGGCCCTTAATGAGACATGGCTTCGAAGTGGAGAGGAGGGGCGGGCACCGAAGGTCGCGGGTTATCGCCTGTGCCATTTACCCAGACCGGAAGCAGTACGTTCGCGTGGCGGCGGTGTAGGATTTTATGTCAGACGTGGCTTGTCTACACAGTTTCCTAAACATCCAAATGAAACTAGGGTTGAACAAATGTGGCTTAGGACTCGGCATAGTAATAAAACCATTATAATTGGCACAGCTTACAGACCACCTTGGTTAAACGTGCAAGACTTCCTGGACGCTTTAACCGAATCGATTGCGTCTTTACCCGTTTATGATTATATTATCTTATTGGGGGACTTCAACATCAATCTCCTGAATAAACAAGACAATCACTCAATACTCTTTAACAATTTTTTGGACTATTTTAGCTTAATACAACACGTTTCCGAGCCGACACATTTTACTAGCCATAGCCAAACGTTGATTGATCTTGTTTGTTCTAATATAATTGATATTAAGGTGTATATTGATTATATCAGTGGTCTAAGTAGCCATTCTTTCCTATCGTTTGAGCTTAATATTGTGAAAGAAAAAATACGCCCGAGAAAAAAGAAATTAAGACCTATTAGAGACATAAACATAGATCAACTTAAAATTATGTTAGATTGTATTGACTGGCATACTTATTCTAATCTTGACTATTGTATAGATTTTCTTGTTTCTCATTTTACAACTAATATAACGAATATTTTTGACATCTTAGCTCCTCTTAAAACTATATATATAAGACAAAATCACTACCCATGGGTTACATATAATGTTAAAAGAATGATGAAATGTCGCAATGAAGCTCATTGCAAAATGCGTTCTGATGATAGCGAGGCTAATAGAGAACGCTACAAAACAATGAAAAAATTTGTAAATGAAGCAATTGTAAATGAAAGGAATGCCTACTTTAACTGTTATATAAATTGTAACTCAAAAAACCCCAAAGTGATGTGGAAACATCTCAATAAACATCTTGAGGTAAAACCAAAGTCGGATCTAATCTTACCGAGTCAATTTAATGACCCTCAGGCTGTTAACAATCATTTTTTGAATATCCCTGGTAATGATTATGTCTCTCCGCAAATCATTCAAAAATATTCTACATCAAAATTCTGCACAGAATCCTTCTACCTAAAATCGGTTAATGAGGATACGGTGTCAAAAATTATTCACAGTCTCAGATCAAACGCCATCAGTAAGGATGGAATCTCCTTGGATATGATTATGATGACACTTTCTTACACCCTCCCTGCTATTACAAATATTGTCAATAAATCCATTCTGTCTAGCAAGTTCCCTGACCTATGGAGGGAGGCTCTTATTAAACCTGTACCAAAATTGAATAATCCAACTACCTTGTCTGACTTACGTCCTATCAGCATACTTCCTTGTTTGTCGAAAGTACTGGAAAAAGTGGTCTACATGCAACTATCCGAATTTTTAGAAAACAATAAAATCCTACCTGACGTTCAGTCGGGCTTTAGAAAGCATCGTAGCACTACTACCGCGCTCACCACGGTTTGTAGACGACATTCTTAGTGCCCAAGACTCCGGAAAAGTTACCCTGCTGGTGTTGTTAGATTACTCTCGAGCGTTTGAAACTGTAAATATCTCCTTACTGCTGGCAAAAATGGCGTACTTTGGTTTTGATAGAACCGCTATAGATTGGTTTGCAAGCTATTTATCTAATAGAAGACAATCAGTGGAATTAATAGGTGAAGATGGTACCATAGCTTGTTCACCTTGTTGTCCAGTAACACGAGGCTTGCCCCAAGGTTCAATCCTAGGGCCTTTATTGTTCATATTATATACGGCGGACGTAACGAGTTGTATTGTGAATTGTGATTGTCATGTTTATGCGGATGATTTACAAGTTTATACATCATTTCACTTGTCGAACACGGAAACTGCCGTTAAAAATTTAAATGATGATTTAAATAGAATATTTGCATGGTCACAGTCCCACACTCTAGTTTTGAATGCAAAAAAAACTAAATATATGATTTTTGGCACAAATAAACATATAAAACATTTATCTAGTAATAGCCCTATCATATCCATAAACAATGAAATTATTGACAGAGTCACCGAAGCTAAAAATCTGGGCGTCATCATGGACGACAGCTTGCGATTTGAAAAGCAAGTTATTAATACTGTCCGTAACTGCTTTTACCGTTTAAAATTATTGTACCGTATACGAGAGTCCTTATCATTTGAATTACGTGTAACATTGTGTGAATCACTGGTGCTGTCAAAATTAAATTACGCCGATACAGTGATAGGGCCACGGATGCTTGCACGCTCGAAAACGGCTATTCAGAAAGTACAGAATGCCTGCGCTCGTTATTGTTTCAACATTCCTCCGCGTGCACATGTAACTCCTTACATAAATGAAGCCAAATCCTTAAAGACTGACTACCGCAGACAATTGCATTTCGCTTTACTTTTATTCGGAGTCATTAAATCCAAGTCTCCGGGATATCTCTATGATAAACTTTTGTGGTCATCGGTTGTAAACACTAATCACTCCACCAGGGCTAATCCTTATTTACTGTTAGTGCACCCACATCGTACTGCAGCCTTTCGTGGAAGTTTCAGATATGCCGCAACCAAATGCTGGAACAATCTGCCGCCCCCATTTCGTGACTTAAAATCGTTAAATACTTTTAGACTAAAATACAAGTTATTCTTGTTTAATCTACAAATTGAACAATATGTAGATTAAACAAGAATAGCAATAGTAACAATAGTAACAATAGTAACAATAGTAACAATAGTAACAATAGTAATAATACTAATAATAATAAATTATCATATTCACAAATTTACATATATATTGATTTTGATATAAATATTTAATAGTATAAATGTTAGTATTTAGTTAAAAACATACCTATAATTACATGGCCAATTTGCTTAATGCAGATTGTTTCATGTCATATTGGTTGCGGAGTGTCTGTCCCAATAATAGTTTTTGGGAGTACTATTATCGTCATCTCTAGGGCAACACAAAATATTTGTATATAAAAAAATATTTACCTAAATTTTTATTTGTTTCGTTATAGCCCCTGTCGCCATAACATACCATGGCACTGTCATTGAATTGAGTCAGAGTACCCGTTCTTTAGATTGAATTTTAAGTTTAGATTTATCATTATTTCTTTAATCTTTAATTCTTTAATAATTTATTTGCCACGCTTACGCGCCCGTACGTCACCGTCACATGGAGGCCTCTGAAAATCAGTGCTGGGATTGTATTATGCCAGCTTTAACTGATGGGGTTTTCCATTTTGGATCCCACACCAGTGCAAAATTTATTTACACTTTCTTTTTGTTTTAGTCTTTTTAATTATTATAATTTTTCTATTTTTCTTTTCTTGTTTTTTTTTTAGCTTTGTGGTAGGAAATCTTTTTTAGTTTATATAATTTAATTTAGACTAAGTAACCATAGATATAATTATTCTTGTAAGTTAGCTATAAGTTTATTTTCTTGTTTAGTTATTATTATTCTTTTTTTTTTTTTGTATTTTAATATTTCCTTATTGTTTATATTTTATTTTTATTTTTCTCATGTTGTGGTGTGGACTAAATAAAGTTTTTATCTATCTATCTATCTTATCTTAAATACTAATTTCTCGCCGCAATCTTGTTATTATTCTAAGTTGCAATATCCATTACTTTTCTTATGTGGTTACACTGATACAAACTACTACAACCATTTTCTCATATTTGACTAATAAATATATTTTCCTGCATTCATTTGTCATAAACATACTATTAAGATGGTGAGAACGTAATTAAGCGATAAATAGGTTGGTGAGTGGACATTAAAAAGGGAATGAAATCCAGCAATCGGTGTGCTATTAACATGGTTTTGTGGATGAGTGGCGACAGTAATTGCCATGTCCGTCTGAGAACAACAATTTATAGTTCACAATGATAATTGAGTCACACTCACTCATTCTGAGGTCATACATCTGCCAAACTGAATAACAGAGATATCCATTAATCTGATTAGCGTGAATGAATGTGGATACAAACGAATTTAGGGATCACTAATTAGCACATTAATATTATATTTTACTTTTCAATTATTTCTCTTTAACAAAGTTTTCGAGTTTTGGTTGAGTTATATTTATATTATATAATATTGTTTTTTTATATATAAAGCATGAGAGTTAGCAAGACCAATTTAAATAAAGACTATAGAATCTAGTCGATTCGCTATCGGCCGGAAATCCAGTCGGGCCAAGGAAATATTTCAACTAAAGCACAATAACGTACTTGCGAGCTGTAAGCGGATTATGAGAGGTTCTAAAGTAGGTAGCTTTGAAACTCGCAAGAAAAGCAATATCCATTATCTTGGCTGGCTTTGTCGACCGACCATTGTTGGTCCTCGCCGGCCTCAAATAAGGGCCCATACCGCAAATAAACATCGAAAATCATTAAACATTCCTCTATTAAACGTTATGGATCTAATAAAAGGTATTGCAAAATAAAATAACCGGTCTTGAAGCCATGTAATAACAACTTTATTACATTTAAGGTTTTCTATATATTTATTTACTAAATTTACAGTACTAAAAAATAATATAATGCACATTATAATACATTATAATTATAAATTATTATAGTCCATTTAAACTTTTGCTCACGGCTCGGTTCTCAGAGGTTAAAAGTTTGAAGAGCAAATTTCCAAAATAAATTGGTCATAAAATTTTATGAAAATTTTCTTCGTAAAAACACAACCATCGGTTTTATGTATGACACAATATTATCAAGAGGACAAAACTATTTACAACATAGCAAACTTCGTAAAGTATATTTTTATGAAACGATTTGAAAAGATTCTCTTATTTTATTGTAGTATTTTGTACACGTCCAAAGCAAAATCGTTGTTAAATTCCTGTAATTCATTTTAGACTAAGACAAACGATAAATACGGGCAACACATAAGACATTAGATCGCCCTGTGATCCGTGGCCTCTCAAACATTTGCTCAGCAATTAATGTTCTGTGCACACAATTGGAACAATACCCCTACTAGTTGTGAGATAACTTTCTACTAAGCTTAGCCATTGCAGTACATGATAGCGTTTCGAGCTTGTATAAGTTTTAATATATATATATATATGTATGTTATATGTAAAACGTTTATGTATTTAATAAATATTTGGGACATTTTGAGCCATTTTCTAACTCGGTGTTTATTCTTGATTTTGCTTCTTGTAAATACTTTCCTAGAATTACCATATTAAGCTCAATAATTCGTCGTCACTATATTTCAATAATATATTATAACTCAGTTCATAATATTTTATACATTATTTTTTTTTGTTATACACATATTACTTTATATACAATGGAATTCATGTTATTTATAATGGAATGAAATTATTTTGGCGTTAGAGAATATAAATAAAAAGAAAATAAAAAGAAAAATAGTTCATGATACTTTACGTATGTGGTTTATATAAGTAGTGTTTCAGAAGTGGATAATTAACTTAATAGGAATAAGCACCTCTTCAAGTCGTAACTAGTTCAACTAGTGTTGATACTTTAACAAGCATAACTCTTCTATTCATTGTACTTATATGATAGCAAGAATTCTCTTATTAAGACGATTTAGAACTTATCGAGATATTGTATAACGTATTGGTATCAGAAATATTTTTATATTTACTTATACGAGAAAATACCATGTTTTTACATTAATATTTATTGCCAATACACAGAGCTATTAAAAACTGCAGGAAGTATTTGTTCATTATTTGTTTAATAAAATGTAATACTACATTCTGAAGAGAGAAAATCGTATTCGTGAGTGGGATTAAAAATCGACGTCCTAAAACACGATAGCGAATATAAAGCTTCGCCATTTTTGACGGATGAAAATTTGATTATAAAAAGGAGCCCCACTCTCTAAGAGCCCTAATTTTGGCCCCGCTGCTTTTTTTATAAAAATATTCAATGTATATCTCACGCTGCGAGTAACAATACTGGGTTAATGAAAAATCAACATTGCTTCGTATACCTTCACAGCAATTTCTTTTCAATTAACGCTTTCCCATGGCGTAATTCCTTTTATTTAAATTGTAATTTGTTTGACTTACATAGTACTTGACATTTTCACACTTTATTTGTTACGTTTTGCATATTGTCAACATTTTCTTTGTATTCCCCTCTTGTTTTAATTATTAAGTACCATGGATTGAAAAAAGATGTTATTAAATGTTTGTTATGTATTTCATATCAGTAAAAAACATGTCATTAACATATCAGCGAATAATGAACTGGAATGAAATTTGAATCTCAGAATGCACAAATGCATATTTAACTACTTTTAAACAAGGATTATTCTCTTACAGTACATTAAAACGGGCACTTTAGAGCTGTAGTCGTTTTTGTACGGTTAATTGCTCGTTACTGACATTAAGGAGAGTTAATTTTATTGGACACTGGTAATAGCGTGGTTTTGAATAAACCAGAGAACCGTGATCCACTTTAAAATATATATAGATCTTTGTGTACTTTGAAAGTCTTAAATAATACCTAATAATTCTTAAATTTTTATCACTTATTCTAAGAAGAAAACGAATGCTATTTAAATGCACACATAAGTTTCTTGGCGTAACGTAAGAAGCATGAAATAGCTTTATGATAATATAAAGTATAACGTTAAAGTTATGAAGGTAACCATTCACTTTTCCTAGTGGATTATCGACGAACCTTCCACTTAATCCTACAATAGTAAGAAATCAATAACCCCGTCGACTCAACCTTTTCCTTTTTCCATTAAAAATTGTTCACTGGCTATGAAAGAGTTGGGATTTATTGCAGTTCAACAACTTTATTACGGTTTCGGTCGTATTACAATTTCATTTATAGACCAGAACATAAATAAATATTTGAAGAACCACGACAATAACTCATCTAAAACGTTAATTGAATACAAATAAGCTACGTCTCTGTCAAAATAGTTAAATACTTTTACAAGCAAACAGAAGTAGAGCTAAACAAGCCTCTCCAAAGAGTTGAGCATATATTTGTTTTTGTAATATACTAGAATTAAGCTACGTGTATTTTCGCAACAGATTAAACGGGAAACACACACTAAGCTTTTCCAGACCATTAATTTCGCAACCACAGTGAGTAAACACGTTCTCTCTAATGTGCCTATTTTTGCTGTTTGACTTTCTGCAATAAGGAGAGTTAACGTAATTATGTAAGAGCCACTAGATCTTTTATAACAATTATAATACTTCAACTTAGTTTACCAATTAATTATTTCAGTATGTTTAAAAGATATATTGATACACTAAGATAATTCACATACACCGCCTTAATAAAAATCTACATATATTATTAACGAATAATAGAGTTGTAGCAGCTAGATTACTAATCATTATAATTGTTAAAGAAAAACAAATAAGTTGGGTTTTTAGGGCAACAGATGCGAATCAACAAGTTGTAAGTTTTTTATGTGCGTTTATAACTTAAAAGGATTTTCTGATTGAATTATTTTAATAAGCACCTCGTTTTAAAATCTAGATACGTTAAAATTTATTATTCAGTAGAAAATTTTTATTACTATATTTTTTTAAGTACCAAAATTAGTGTTTGACTTGTAAATCCGTTTTACTAGACACTGTGCGATGGAGTTAACATAATATACTGTTTAATAATATGACAACAACAAAATAGTATTAACTAATTGTGTTCATGTACTCCTGCTAAAATTTTGATGAATATCTAGGCCTAGACGTTGTTTACTTTTAATATTCCATTAATTTCCTCGAATACCCGTTTTAAATCGTGTGCCGAAATCATTGCGTCTTATTAAAATCATAAATCTAATGTCAGAAGCAGCCGCCGTACTCCAAGACGACTGTAAAATTGTATTTCATGCAAAACAGTTTCTTTCGTTCCTTTTGAAGCATGAAAGGGATGAATAATGAAACGTAAATTTAAGCACTGATACAATAAGTAGACGGAGTCCACAGATTAAGTAGTCATACATATATGAATTTGTGAAACCAGAAAATTATTCGAAAATATTTTAAATATTACGACTTTTCTTTCTAGTATTAATTTCATAATATTTTTATTGAAACAACAAAGAAAATAAATCACACAACTCACTTGTACCCTAAGTAATAATAGCTTTATTTTTTTAATTTATCTATTTTTCTTCTAAGTTTTTATTCCGATGAGACACTATTTGGTTTCATTTGGCAAAAAAATCAACTTGAAAATTATTATTAATCAGTCTGCTCAGAGACATATCATTCAATTTATTGTTTTAATTATATAAAATGTTATGTAATTTATTAAGGGATTTTATTAAATACTCGTATGTTACAACGACCAAACATTAAGGAAATTAATGAAAAGTAAATTAATAAACCATGCCTAAAATATTGTTTAACAAACTCTTAATATGTACTTTGTTATTAAAAAAGTTATCAATACAATTAAATCGTTATATGGCATAAATAATTATTATTACTTACATATATGAAACATCACATTCAAAATCTGATTATTTTTCTATTAAGTATTAGAATTTTATCATGGCTTTCTAGGAACTTTCTAAAATGTTTGCTTAATATTTGTTTTTTAACAGAACTTGTTACCTTAACAAGTGAATTCATTAGACGAAATTAAATTTATTTCTTTTCAGATCTTTCGTTTTGATACAAAATTAGTACAACAGTACATATTACAGTGAAAATATATTTGCTTATTGGGTATTAAAATTTTCTTATCCGTAGATTGCTCAAAGCCAATATGAACTGAAGGAACAATTGAAGGAATTAGAACTTCCTCACAACCTTATCGTGGGTTATCAAATGGCAGGCGTTCAGTTGATTGCTAAATATCCAAGATTAGAACTAACCGCACTTTGAAGTAAACTAAAACGCAGGAGGTGTTTAGGAAAGTGTTTATAAGATACCCTTATCATTTTAATCTTATACTACTCTGGATCCACGTCGACTTCCCGAATGACTGCGTCTTGAGGCCCATTAGGGTGGTCGGCGTCATGAAATTTTATATTTTAAAGTTTTGATGGGACACTTCAGTTGTGAAATAATTGCCAGCAATCTCGTCTCTCGAAATTAGTATTTATTTTAATTTAAAAAACCTCGAGGACAAACTGACGAAGGTAATTTCTTTTCTTATCTACTTTATTTTCTCATACTGCTTTTTTCAACAAATTATTTAAAATATCTGAAATACGTTATTTAGTTTAATAACGAGGCTCAAGTGTTAAAAACTGACACTAGATCTTTATTTATATAAATTAAATGTGGACGATCATGTATTTAATTTAAATCTAATTACTTACTTCATTTAATATATATAATTATTTGTTTCTAATAAAACAAACGACCCCTCATATTTCATTAGATGATAACATTGTAAGAGCCGTTGAAACCATATCAGGGGTTCCGAACTTGAAATTAATTTCGCAATAACGACGATATATGTTCTCACTTTCCACTTTTCTGTCACATTGTTTATTTACACATGGTCGAGTTAGTAATTTAAAGTTTGTTTCATATGAAACAATGATGGGATCGTAACTTTATTATTACGGCTAAAACTTTCATCGGAAGGGATATTGGTTTCATAGAACATTATCTGCAAAATAACATACCATTGAGTTAACTCATGATTTAATATATTGGAATTATGACATGTATTGGAATTGGATTTTTCATAGTAATTAAATCTTTCAATGCTGCTTACAGTGCGCGTATTTTTTTTTAGTATATTCTGCAAGTCAGGCAAATGTATTTTTTTATTCAGTGCCATTATGGTGCAAGACCATTTTTTTATAAATTTTATAAAATTTACCATATATATTTATCCCAATCGTCTTTAAAATCTCGTACATTTATACATATATAGTATGAAGTTGATTTAGTGTAGCAACTATCAGCTGAATAGTATGTAAAAATATTATTTACTACTGTCATTTGTTTCTGATACTGTGAATATTCACCTTTTATTTATCTTATCATCTCTTTAAGGGATTACAACTGTTCCCATACTTAAAATGTTATTTAAAACACCCATTAAAACAGTAACTATGGCACTCAAAGCTTGTTAGATATAAAAATAAAATAAAATCTTACTAAACATCAACTATGAATATTAATGATGCAAACATATTTTAAAGTATACATTTTTTAAAACAAAGTAATAGTCTCTGAATGAGCAATTTAGAAGGGATATATGAAGGTCGATAAATTTCTACGTAGGACACAATATCTACGAGAAGTTGTCGTTCAGCTTGCCGTTTTATTTGCTAATTAGAGAAGTTCAGGTTTGACGCAGTTTCAAGCTAACAGTATGAGCTCTTTATAATAATTATACATCGTTTATATTCTATGTTTGACTCCAATTTAGTAATTATAGTTTCTCGTAATAAGTTTCTTAATGATCGTATACGTATATGTCATCAAATGTTATTCTCGACAAAATCATTGTGCTTTAAATTTATTATTAAATATTATAATAAATATATGTCATGATGAATATATATTTTTGGATATGGTAAAATACCCTTAGTATTTTAATTCACCACGAATGACAATAGGTGACAACTGACGTTGTTCATTATTTATATCGTATCCAATATTCAGAAAAGCCTGTGAGTGACATACATGGTGGACTCGCATATTCCCCAGGATGATTTTTGTTTTTTTTTGTATCACTAGATACATGACTACTACATATATATTGGCTGATTAATGAACTAATATAACAAAGATTGTAACTACACAAATAACAAAATTTTGACTACAATGTAGTTTTACTTCAATAAAAATGTACTTTTTTTTTCAACGATTCAACGATAATAATAATTAATCATTTAATGTCTAAAATGGAATAAACATTTTGAATTGTATTTGTAACAGTTGCATATTGAACAGTAATGCGGCTAAAGCACATCGGCTAATAAGCCATGATTAGGTAAAATAGAAATTGATTCTGTATAATTACTATTTGCTTGAAGTTTCAGTTTACGATAATAAAAAATGTGTATTGTAGAGCTTATTTTTTTCACATATACATATTGGGTTTGTTATAATATTAATGAAAGCAGAAATAAAAATGATATAAATAAATAAATTTATAAGTAATGTACTCTAAAAAAGAATATATTTTGCTATGATAGTAAAAATATTTCAGACTTAAAACTGGCTGTTGTTTGTATGTAACATTACCAAAAGTAATTACAATGAATAGGGATTTAAACACAATAAAAAAAACGTAACATTACAACAAAATAATTTTAGAGACTTATTTTAACAATATTAAGACGAAAGCATTACTCGGTCTGTTTTTATAAAAGACTCAATATGTAATCACAAACCAATTTTGATCCTCGTCGTTTAAAATTTTTTAATGTGAAAATTATGAAGTTCAATATAATAAATATTTTTTTGTTAGAACAATTCTTTAAATTAGTATGAGTAAATTAAATAATAGTTTTCACGAATAATTTATTCACTTCTATATAGAATTTGAATCTCCTTTAACTGTAAAAAGATCGTACAGGGAATAAGCAACATTGCTATACAAATTCAAACTAATTTAAAGTTCAACATTAAGTATCTTAGTATACCCCTTTAATCATCTCTCTGCCGATGTGCCAGACGTGATAATCCCGTCTGTCCTCGGCTTAAATCCAGTCGCTTGACTGAATTTTCAATTATCGATGTTCATCTTATAATATAGGATCTAATTTATTCAAAGGATTCCCTCCAGCCAATTTGGTTCAGAGCATAATAATAACAGAAATTAGAAGATTATTACTATTCATTTTCTCCAAAAATTAAATTCAAAAATTGATTTCATCAGTATAATTTCCATCAGTTTAAAAGTATGTGTAGGGTTCATTTATAAACCCACACGAATGGACTGGTGTATACTTCCAAAGTTGAACATTGATGGAACCCAAACAAAAAAACATCAGGAAAAAATTAAATAATTTAAATATTAATATTATCATAATAAAAATACATTTAATAACATTCAATGTTTTTAATATAGAAGTAAGAAGTTCTCAGTAATTATCAGAAAATTTATGTCTTAACATTTAAGCAATGTTTAGAATTAATATGGATATTTGATAGAAATGAACAACTTTAATTTAATTAATGCTCAGTTAATTTCACTATCAAAAATATAACCCTTTAATTATTATTATTACCCCAAAAAGATTTCCAAGCCACTGTACAAACAAATACATAGTCTCTATTTTGTTTTGTCTCTATTTTGTACCGTCAGATGTGACCGTCTTCCTGTGAATAATTAAATCAATTAAAGTCATCGTTAGTAGTTTAGAAGCTGTTCATCAAATATATCTTGTCGATTAACGCTTTTGTGAGACCATTGAATTGAATAGAATTCATAAATTTATCGATATTAATATTTATGCAAAAGTAAATATAAATGATTAAGCAATAGTCATCGTATTAGTGAAAGTAGACTGGTTCTTTTTTTATAACTCTCATTACTGCATTTATCGTACAACAGAAGGACTACGAAAGTCTTAGTTCACTTTTTACTTTTATATAGTGAATACATTGAACGTTGTATATTGAATGGTAAAGGTTTTACAAGTTTGTGTAAAAATATTGAACTCATTCTAAATAAGAGCAATGAATGGGCATTTTAATACAATGGCTATAATTAATTAAAGATTCATTGTTACAATTGTTCCATTTATTTAAAAATGTATGTCACAAATTAGACAAAACAATTTTCGAATATTGAATATAATAATTAATATAGTGATATGTTTGATTCTCGGAAAACATTCATTTTTCAATGGACAAGCAAATTACAAACGTATGTACCGAGATTAATGTGTTAGGCTATTGGAACTAAAGTTATCCTAATTGCAATAAAGAAGATAGCAAGCATTTAACAACTTTAGCCCTCTCGACACCACAATACCAGATCTCAAGAAACAATTAACGCGCTCTGCATATATTCTGCATTCATGCACACGTATGTGACATGTGAAAATTGAACAATCTTTAACTACACATAACAAAAAACGGGACTAACTAACAAAACTTCATATTGTTTGTCCATTTTCTTCTTAGCTTAAAAGTGACCGAAACTAGAGGTTAAATAAAAACAAAATATGTGACGCAAGTAAAATAAAAAAGTAATTTTATCTTTAATTATTATTAAATACAAGAATTATGATTAAAAAACTAATGTTTTTTATATAAAAGTCTTCATAAATATGGTAAAAAATTGCAGTTAGGATTTAAAGCATGGATGGCTTTAATTTAAGCAATCACAGTTTATTTTTAAAACTATATTGTGATGTTATTTCTATTTAACCTTAAATTTTCTACTTTCATATAAATTCAATTCAATTTAAGTGAAAGAATTGGAACAGATTTTAAATGGATATATTTTGGATATTTTAACATTGTTAAAAATACTTTTTAGAAAACACCTACATCGTTATGTACTGATCACAGTCCTAATAAATCTTATAAGAAAAGGGTCTCTCGTCCCGAGCAGGCAATTTTGTATCTGATCAAACCAAATGTAATAACTGCGCAAATATGGAGGAACAATAGAAGGTAAATTACTTTCTTGGGGGAAGAGAAACTCAATTGTCAAAAGGGATAGCTGAGCTTTATCTCCAGCACGGGACTATTTGTTTTCATAAACTAATTTAGCGTTCCATCATATTGGTATCGGACGATCTACAGACTTTAGTCTTTGGAAATTTAATAAAAATCAACGACGAAGAAACGGCCAAGTTTATAACCTCGTCTATAAATATTACATAGCAGTTGAGACCGTTTTACAAATACAAGTATACTTAAAAGCAAATTTGATATACAGTGAGGGAGGGTAATGAAAA